GCCTCCAGCTTCTCCACGGATGCCTGGAGAGGACGGTGTCTGACCCACTTTGAGGGGAACACAAAGACAGAAGAATGCTCGGTGTCTGCTCTGAATCCACAAACAGAGAGGGGGCGGCGGCCTGTGGGTCCTCAACAGCACAGACCTGAGCAGGGCGGCTGTGTTCCACAGCAGCCTTTATTAGAAAGAATCGGGTTTTGATAACACCAAATGGGCACCCTGAGCTGAGGCAGCTGTTTAGGTATGAGCCTGAGGGGATATACATAATGGGACTGAAGTGATGATGCCTCTGTGGCCTCTTCCAGGCTGACAGCCCCACACTGGGCATCCAGGGTGGGAGCAGCCGACTGGCATGGGTCTGGCTGCTTAAGGCTCAGGATCTGAGGCCATGGCTGCTGGACCTGTGGGCATGAAGTATGGTGTTTTGGTTGCCTCTCTCCTGTGTCCTGGTCCACTTGCTGCTGCTAGCTGGGGCCTCTAAGGGAGCCCTCTGCCTCCCAGGAGATGGCCTGCTTCTCATATCCTGGAGGCTTCCCTGAAGGTGGTGGGGGTGGAGGCTGGGGGTCGAGGGAGGGTTTCCCTCCCTGTGTGCACCAAGGAACCACAGTGGGGGCGAGGTGAGGCTGTGCAGATTTCAGCGTGGCCACCCAGTATGGAGACCCTGCACCACCACAGTTTCTGGACATGGCTGAGGTTGTGTCCCCGATCTCCTGGCCAACCTCTAGAGAGGCTCACCGTGAGGCTTCTCTCAGGCTGCAGCAGCCAGCTGAGTTGATAATGATTGAGATGCTCACTGTGGCTCCCACCGCAGCCTCAAACTGCTCGATGGGGCTTGTTCTCTTACATGGCATAGACCCTGCCTGACCCACATCAAAGGGAACAAGGTGAGGGGTGCAGTGTGACAACCTGGAGGTGCAGCACCCATCACCACAGCCAGAGCCCTCTGCTCAGACATGTGGGGCTGACCTGGAGTGGGTGCCTGGGGAGCTCACTGAAAGACCAGGAGGCTGGCCAGACACCTGAGCCGCTAATGCTCTCACTTGCTGGGGAAAGCAAAGTGAGACTTGCCTTGCACATGTGAATTCAGAGGCATCTGCAATCCAGGAATCCCAAACTGACCAGCCTGGTATCCTCAGACTTATTTGGGGCACATCAGAATCAACACTGACACTTGTCATTCACATTCTGACATTTTCTCTGGACAAGTGGCTATTTGCAAAGTCCCTTAACCTATTAAGTTCCATTCTGGCCGCTCAAGGGGGCTAGCCTGGGGCTCCTCGGGAGAGCTGGGGGCGGGGGCTGCAGTCTCCCCGGCCTCATTTCAACAGATTCCTAATTAGGTGCGGGAAAGTTTCCGGCTCAGCACATTCATTCATGATTTTCCGGTCCCTTTGCTGCTCATTCTTCCCCTTTGTCTTCCTGGCACCCCAGCCAGCTCATTGCCACCCTGAGCTCTCTGCTTGGCTCTCGGAAAGGCACAGCCCTCATCTGGGGAGAGGGAGGAGGAAGGGCGTGTGGCAGGCGGGGGTGTGGAAGGGAGGGTCGTGGCGGGACAGGCCACACAGCTGCTTCTCGGAGGCAAAATGAGAAGGGAGTTCGCTGCTTACTGACAACTTGGCAGAGGCTTGAGAAGACAAGTGAGGCTTCCGAGATCATTGTCTACGGAGTATTCCAGAAAAACTGCGGGGTGAGCTCGGGCCAGGGAGGGACAGCCTTGGTGGGGTCCAGCCCCTGTTCTGAGTTGGCCTGCAAATGTCCAGCAGGCAGACTGAGGAGGCTTCCACCAACAGGGCTGCTCACTTGGTGTTACTTGGTGGCCCAGGGAGGAGTCCATGACCTCCCTTCCCTTCCTCCCCTGCTGATGTGCCACAGAAGACGCCCACATCCGGTCTAAAAGAGAAAGGCCCCAGTGGTGCCACTACCCCAGCTGGGAACCGAGCCCTGGTTCAGTTTACTGAACTGAGCAGTCTTCCTTTTTCCCAAGAGGCTGTGCTACTGGGTGGCTCAAGGGTCTGAGTTTCTCATGGGGAAAAGTGACTGCTCGTACTGTCACCCACAGCAGTGCCCTGGCAAGGCTCCTGACACTTATCTCTCAGATCAAAGGGAGAGAAGAGGCAAACAGCTGCAAAGGCCACATGTCAAGACAGCCACAGCACCAGCAAAAGACAAGTGCCTATGACCTTCATGAGCTGGTCTCTGCCCAGGCACCCGATTCACCCAAAGCCTCCCTCAGGGCCACAGGAACCCCAGGTGGGGGTGGGATCTCTTCCCAGGGAAGCGGGGGCCATGGACACAGTCCAACTGTAGTGCCAGGGCTGTCCTGTGGGGCCAGAGAAGGCCAAAGAGCATCACATCACGAGTGGATGGGCAGCCCACTGTCAGGGAATAGCAGCAGTGAATTTTCTAAGGCTCTTGCACTGCTGATTCCACCCAAGCCAGACTCTGGGGCAAGAGAGGATGGAAAGGGGGCAGGGGCTGTTGGAAGTCATCCTCTAGGACTCTGGGCCTGCTGGAATCTCTGACTCAAGTCTGGGCACAAGTGGGGACCTTTATTTGCCATCAGCTACCTCTTTTCCCTTTCACAAACTTCCACTTGAAGACAATGAATGTATCACTTGCCAGATGCAGAGAGGAACTGGTTGCACTCAACATTGCTTCTAAAGTCACAGCCATTATCTGCTGGTCACCCCCTCACAGCCTGACAGGTGCATCCATCACTCCAGTGAAGGCACGTGCATCCCTCCACCTCCCTGGTCCTCCAGGGCCAGGGAAGGGGAATAGAAAAGACCTCAGCTTTTGGGCCAGGGCTTACTCAGCTCCTTCTTATCACTGACAAAGTGAGCAGGGCAGGGGCCAAGTTTTCAGGGCTGCAGACCTGGCTGCAGGGACTGCCAGGCGCTGGCCAGGGAGGTGAGGATGGCGAACATCCTTCTCCAGATTCTGCTCACCCAGAAAACTCCTGGAGATCACCAGCGCTCAAAAATACTTCACATAAGCAGAGAAAAAGGGGGAGGATGCTCTGTGTTCCTCATCCCTGCTGACCTCAACTTCTGGACACAACGCCTCCTAGCACTTGGTGTGTGTGTGTGTGGGGGGGTCTATCCATGCAGCTCACGTGACCCTTGTGCTCCAAGTAACAAGTTTTCGTTTCTTCCCAGGCGGTTGTGTTAACTTACCCTGGGGCTTTGGAGCCTGGGATGAAATGGGAGAGCCCCTGTTGGTGACTATGTAATCAGACCCTGTGGATGGGGTCGATCAGGAATCCGGCTCCATCCAGGTCCCCAGACCTGGAGCTGGGGCTCATCAATGGCTCAGAGCTGATCTTGGTCCTGCTCTTGTGTCCTTATGAGGACAGACCAAGAGCGGGAAGAAGGCACTGGCTGGTGAGTGGCTCGAGACAAGGACATGTGGCCTCATGGTGGAGTGGGAGCCTCATGGCACCCTGAGCTCCTGGCCTGGGGGCTGCATGGAAAGGTGGGTCAGCTGCCTGCTTGGATGGTCCCCTCCAACCAAGGATGCCAGGGCTCCAGTGTGTTCAGCTGCAATTCACACTGGGGACTGGAGAGGCCAGAGGTCATTTGGGTGGACACTGTCCTCAGCACATCATCATCTGCTCCAGGCCCTACAGGGAGGGAACCAGGGCAGCGGGCACCTGGTCCTGAGGAGGGAAATGGGCAACTGCGGTGGGAAGGGAGGCTGGGGATGACAGGAAGGTTCCCCTGGACTCTCCATGCCAGGGGGCAGGGCAGCTCTGGTGGCTGAACATACCCACCGGGTCCAGGCCCCTCTATCTGAACAGTAAAGGTCTCCTTTGCTTTTATTATTTAGTATTTATTTATTTATTAAAAAAAATTTTTTTTTTTTGGTACCAGAGATCGAACTCGGGTCCTTGCGCTTGTGCAGCAGGCAGCGAAACCACTGAGCTAAATCCCCGCCCCCTGTTATTTAGTATTTTTTTTAAATGGTAGGATAGGCTTTACACTTTTATCCTGACCTCTTCCCCGTTTTTGAGACAAGCTCTGGTGAAGTTGCTCAGGTGGCCTCAAACTTATAATCCTCCTGCCTACCTTATAAGTGCTGGGATTACAGGTGTGCACTACCTCAGCTGGTCGGTCAGTCGGTCTGCCTTTCTTTTTATTTTTGAGATGGGGTCTCCCTGTGTTTTCCTGGCTGGCCTTGAACTCTCAAGCTCAAGGAATCCTCCTGCCTCAGCCTCCTGCTGTGACTACGGGTGTGTACCACAATGCCCAGCCAGCCTTCTTTGCTTTTAAATACAACAAAATAAGTGTCCAACAGATGCCCAGCCCACACGCTGGCCAATGGAGGAGTAGGAACCCCACACCCTCTTGTCCTCGGGCCAGTTGCATAAGCAGCTGGCTCCTTTCCTCAGGTGGCTGGCAAGATGGCATGGCAGAAGTGAACCTACGACCACCCTGCTTTTGGGAGAAGAGACCTTCAACTGCAGCTGAGGATGACAGTGTTGTTTCTCAGCGTGCACTGCCTGGTCAGTGGAACCTGCTGCAGATGGGGCGGCTGTTCAGGCCTGACACTGGGAGGCAGTGGGTGGCTGTCGCCACAGCTCACTGGGCTTCATAGCTGTGCCGTATAGTGTACCCACAAGAAGACAGAGCACTGTTGCTCCCGTGCCCTCCAGGGCGCACGGTCCAACCCAGGCCAACCTGTGGGTTGGTGGGAACCCAGCGTGGTGTACGAACGAGTCTGGCCACAGAATCAGTAGATGGGATTCTAGCCCGGCTCCATCTATGCAACATGACCTTGAAAAAGCCACTTATCTTCTTTCGGTACTAAGTTTCCTCACCAGCAAAGGGCAGGCAGAGCACCTTGTCTCGGCCCCTGCCCTCTGGCAAGGTTGGAGGCCCAGGCAGGCCATGTCAACAATACCCAGCCAGCCTCGCTGGGAGCTTGCTCAGCCTCTGGAAAGACCGTGGAGGAAGGGACGAAGGCAGAAGGATGAGAACAGCGACGTTTCTCAGACTCACCGATCCATCTCATCAAAGAGGTCAGGATCTGCAGGTACTTGGTCTTCTGGACATCAAAGAAGGTGAACGGTCCCAGGAGGAGAGTGAAGGCAGCCTGGGGGAGGAACGCAGCGGTGAGAGGACACAGGGGCAGCTGCCCACAGGAAAGGAGGCCCCACCCTAACCCCAGTGCACACCTGGCCAGGCAGAGGCTCCCTGGGGTCCAACCGCATCACCATGGCCAAGTGCTAAGTGCCAGCGTGGGACCGGAGGTCCAGAGCCCTGCCTCTCTGCCACAGTTCATGCTTGCTGATCAGATGTTACTGCACTTCCTGGGCAAGGCCCAGGCATCCCCCTCTACTCTGTTCTCTGGCGGGCACTGGTAGAGGAGCCTGGGGTCCAGCACAGGACTGGCTGTGAGTGCAGATTAGGTACAAAATAGCAACAAGATGAGGAGCCAAAAAGAACACCAGCCATGCCCTCACCACTACTGGGGGGAAAGGACACGGTGAGGAGGGCACACGGGGGCTCTGAAAAGGCAGCGAGGGAGAGAGGATGCCCCTTCTGAAGGGCTTGGAGAAAGCTTTAATCAGGGTGCCACTCATCAGTCACATTTTCAGCTTAAATGGAAGGGGAGCCTAGAGAACAAGAGCCAGTGACTTCCAGGGTGACTCACGCAGGCACGTGTCCTGGATTAAGAGAAAAAGTGCTACACCTAGAGACTGAGACTGATGAGGCCTGAGCAAGGGGATGGGAGCCAGGCAGGGAGATGGGTGCCTGCACCCTGGTCCTCCTCAGTTTGATGCTCTGGAAACAAGAGGGGAAAGTGTTTACTTTAAAAAACCTGGCAGCAAATCCTGTCTTAGAAAACTGGTCTGTGGGAAGTGTGGACCATCTCTGCAGAAGAAATCAGGGTGAACGTGCTACAGTTAATGGGAGAGGAGTGGGGGGCAGGCTTTCCATGCCCAATCGGTTGCTCAGGGAGCAGAGGAATTAAAAGCTGCTTGCTGGAGCTAAGACGATGGTACCATTTCCAATCTGCTACTTGGAAGCAGACGAGGCGTTAGACCTTATTAACATTTACACTGTGCCATTTTATCACGTTAATGCTGATGACACTCACCAGAGATGCGGCAGGCGGCACAGAAGCCTGGAGGCGGGGAGAGGGACCTACTGTGGGGAGACCAGCTCTGGCCTTGTGCTTTGGGTGAATTCATCACAGCTGCCGAGCCTGGGGCCAGTCCCGTGACAGGCAGGCCAGCGGCGGGGGCGGGCAGGAGTTCTGAAGAAGGGGGTGAGCCTGCCCTGCCCCCAGCACCAGGAGCGCTGGAAGAAGCTGTGACCTCTTATCCAAGTCCATTATCACTGTGAGTTGAATGACAGAAGGACTCAAGTGCCGCTTAAGGAAAAGGCTCTAATTAGCTGGGGTGGGTGAAGGTGCCCTGGCAGCCACCAGGGCCAGGAGATTTCTGGAAAGAGATTTCTGCTGGGGTCCTCGGAACCAGACCCCCTCCATTCAGGAGAGGGGGAAGGAGAAGCGTTTCCTTTAAGCTGGGGTGACAGGGAAAGGCGGCGGGGGGGGGGGCTCTTGTGGGTAAAGGATGGGAAGCCCCTCTCTGGTCTCTCAGGCCCAGGGAGCAGATCTGGGACTCAGTAGTAACTAACACCACCTCTGGCCCAGCCTGTCTGTATGCAGCACCATTGGTAAGTCATTTAGGAAAATTACCACTTCAGGGGAACTTTCCACTGATGAATTTCTCTTTTGAAGGATGGAGAAGGGGATGTCAGGTGGAAGGATAAATTCAAAGTCACTCACCACAACTATTTCCAGACAACTGTGGCCTGCTGGAAACCAGACTCCTGTTGTGCCCAGGGGGTTCACCTTTGACCTATGACCATTTGAAAACTCTAGCTTTGGGACGCATTTCCTGATGGTTTCTGCAGGAGTCAGATCCCCTCTGAGAAACCTAGTAACTACTGGTCTTTAGAGGATTCCATGACATAAGAAGGGTAGGAGTAGTAGAACTGTCCCCAAGGTCAGCAGAGAATCCTGCAACTGCAGCCCTCCAGGGTCGCTTGTTAGAGGCCTGGTCTATTTCCACCCTCCTCCTCAGTGCATGCTTGTCAAAACCCCAGGACAAGGAGACCCCACTGTGTAGCAGCCTGAGGGAGGGACTCCTGGCTGCTGAGGGCGTTCCTGAGTAAGAGGCCGGGCACACACTCCTCTAAGACACTGATCAAGAGACAGGGAACTGCAATCTAGAGTCGGAACGAGGGTCCACCCTCACTTAGTGTTCTCATATCCATCCTGGGGACAGCAGGTGGCAAAGGGCTTTTTGGAAGATTTGATCAACAGCAGTGACACCCACAGGGTCACCCACAGTGGCTGGGTTGCTTCCTTTTCATATCGAGGAGCACAAACCGGGCACTCCACTCAGGGCCCACCATGTCTCAGCCAACAGACAGACAGATGGCTAAACAGCAGCCTTGCACGGGCTGCGACCTCATGCACCAGAGGGAGCCCAGATGAAGACACAGACCCAGGGCTGGGGCTAATTAAGGAACAGGTGTCCTCTGCAAATTAGCTAGAGCCAGAACCCAGCAACTGCGGGAGCGGGCATCAGAGTGACAAAGGACAAAAGGCAGGAGTGGCGGAGGCTGCCCAGGGCTTTGGGAAGAGAGGGGCTTGGGCTGAAGGATAAGCCCCAGTGTCTTGATGGTCTGGCGGGGGTAGGTCCATCTCTGAATGCTCCTGAGCCAAATGTGGCACTTTGTGTTTTCTTTTTCCTTCTTAGAAAAGATGAAATAAAAAGCCAAGAGACAGCCTATCCTCTTGGGTCCTCCAGTCTAGCCCATATGACATTATAAATTAGCTGGCTCTGGAGCAATTCTCCAACCCCCAATGCCACTGATCAGTTGAAATTCAGTCTCTGTTCAAGGACTCTTGTCACCCAGCTCATTACGGGAGGCAGGGGCACCAGTCGCTGCACCCAAATGTGTTTTTAAAAAGAGAATGACTCTTTGATTTCTAATGAAATCTTCGAACAAGTCTCTGGGAGTCAAGTCTGGGACAGACCTGGGAAATGGAAATGGGGCCACTCAAACCTCTCTCTTTCTGGGCCAGTGAGTTTAGCTGTGGACCAAAGGCCCTGTGGCTGCCTTGCCGGCATCTTGATGGACAGCAGCACCTCATGTTCCCAAGGTGCTGCATGCAGCACTTGCACTTCAGCTCGCCAGGGCTGCCCGCCCTCCTGGGCTCCCCATGCAGATGGACAGCACCACCTTCTCCAGCTGCTCAGGCTCTGAAACTCCAGTTCCTTCCTTCCTCTCTGTGTTAGGTTTCTGTGGTTGCTGTAACAAATTACCACAAACTGAGTGTCTTCAAATCCCAGAATTTAGCTGGCTGTGGTGGCACATGCCTGTAATCTTAGTACTTGAGAGGCCAAGGCAGGAGGATCGCTGCAAGTTTGAGGCCAGCCTGGGCTACATAGTGAATTCAAGGCAAGCCTGGACCATGTAGTGAGATTTTATCTCAAAAACAAACCGACCAACCCCGGGATTTTCTCTCTGAGGCCAGACGTCTGGAAGCTAGCAGAACAAGGATCCCAACAGCACCATACCCTGCTCCCCCACCCCATGGAGACCTATGCCGCGCACACACTGAGGATGGAGCTGGCAGGAGCCACATTTCTCCAGCTTCTGCCAGCACTGAGACTAATGGACCCAGTAGAGGGCAGAAAACTCCTGATTTGCAGCTTAGCCTCTGCCCACTGGAGACAGGGGGGACACCCAGTCTTTAGAACCAAGGACTGAGGGCTGGGGATTTAGCTCAGTGGTTCTGTCGCCTGCCTCGAAAGCACAAGGTCCCGAGTTTGATCCCCGGTACCAAAACAAATATGACAGAACCAGGGACTGAAAGGGACTGGGGTGGGCTGAGCACACAGATGCCCTGGACAGCATTTGGCTTTGCTGAGACCCGGAAGTACTGAACCTCACGGCTGCTTGGGACGGCAGCATCTGGGTACTGGGGACTCAGCTGCTAACCGCAGCCTCCACTTTCCTTTTGGAGTGGTCTGGACTCAGCTGCTCCATTCTGGAATGGGAGAAAGGAATGCTGTCCCACTTCTGACAGCAGATCTCTAAATCTAGAACTCTTGATTCAGGTCTGCTGACCTGATCCGTGACACTCACAGAAGGAAGGCTCCAGCTCAACTCAACCCTGGCTGGATATAAAATGTGCCCGGCAGTGGCAACATGTGGTGTCCTTTGTGTAGCTGTCCCAACAAGGAACCATGAGCAAGTGTGGACACGAGAACGGAAAAGTAAAGCAGCTTGATACCTAACTCCCTGTCCCCAAATTTCTCTGCATATTTAGCTGGCCAGGAAAACAAAATGAAAATTTAAATTTGGTGCCAATACTACATTAAACACCCTAGTTTAAGAGGCTGCAAAATCTCAGGGTACCATCACCTGTCTGGTTCCCATCTCTGGTACTCTCAACCCTGTCATCCTAGCTGTTGGTATTTTTCAGTGCCTTATCCTCTCAAAGTCGTCCTGTGATAACATCACCACGCAAGGCCACGGGCCCCTTTGCATCCACAAAACCCTCACACCCAGATTCATTTGGTTCTTATGCCCGTCTACATGGTGACCAGGGCAGTGACAATGCATTCCCTTCCCAAAGAGGAGGCAGAGGTACTGGAGAGGTCCAGTGCCAGAGCAAACAAAAAAAGCAGCAGAACAGGTGGCTCCTGATCCCAGCTCTCTTTGCAGTGCAAGCTCTGTACAACTCATCTGTCCTGTTCCTCTCTGGATACCTCCTGTCCCCGTCAAGCTAATTCCCACTCTCATGTCTCTACCCTCCTGACTCCTCCTCTTGGCAGAGAATCTCTCTCTTTACTTTCCTTAGCCCCTGCCTTCTATGGCCTGCTCAAGTGCCAACTCCTTTGGAGTTATTTTCGTCCTCCCTGGGGGCTTTCGCCTGAAATACCAAGTAGATAGTCAGTGCCACATGGCTTCACTTTGGTAGAGAACAGGGAGCTGCTCCTTTTCCATGATTGTGCACCCCCAGCACAGCACCCGTACCGTGAGGGCAAGGACTGTATCCTCTTGTGT